TGCGCAGCACGTTGTTCTCGTACTCAAGCTGGCTGATGCGCTCGTTCAGCGAGACGATGTTCTCCTTAAGGATCTCCACCTCCTCGCGCACGGCGACCATCAGGTGACTCTTCACCAGGTCCTGCAAGCACACACGCGGGACACATACACCGTTAGATACGCCGTATACGCCGTATACGCCGTCACGTCGCTGCGGACGCGAATCACGCGACTTCTGATTCACGAATTTCTGATATTAAATTAACGCAGGTGAGCGTGCTGGGTGAAGCTCTTAACAGATGAAACATATTAGACGCGAGTACAGTCAACCCTGTAATTAAAGATCATTCTAGCCGAAACGCCCTAGCGTTTGATAGGCAGGTGCCTGTGTCATGCATAACAGAATAAATCACATTAATTCAAATGCGCGTAGCAGCGTAGCGGGGTAAACACTATATGATATTCATTCATGTGGATGAGCATAAAATATGTAAGGTTTATGTTATGACGTAGTTGTGCACAACACAGGTACACCACATGATATTGAATGCACATGTAAATGCGTATCTGGCAGAAACCCCATAAAATTCCGTTCACGTAAGCATCTCAAGTAAGCTGCTTTATATGAAATACATGTAGTTGTGCATAACAGGTAAACTACATGATATTAAATGTGCGCAGTAAGGCATCTCAGCTAATACTTTAATATTAAACATGCATAGTACATCACTGCATGATATTTTAAACAGGTGTTGTCCTGTATCACAAGCACAATGCAGAAGGGCAACCTTTTTGCTTTCTGGAAAGTTGAGGTCTAACTATGATACGATACAATATAAAGACTTACTTTTACGTATCAATAAAACGTAACAAAAAACGTTAATTTTAAAATTACTATGGATTATAATTAGGATGACCCTTGCTGCCTGATGCAATGATGATGGCCTACATTATCAACTGATACTACTGCTTGTATCACAAGTGATACATTATAGTAGCTTTGACCTCTACTCAAAAGTAGATGAAATCATTCCTAATAAAGCCGAGATTCTTCAATAGTTTAGTTTTTATGATAGGAAATTGCCATCTAGTGCTTGGTGATAAAACAGACTATTAGTTCAACTAATATCATTTCCACATGCGTCAATTTTTTTGGTTTTATGCCAACAAGTATCATAGAGTACCGAAGTGATGACGTCACGGTGGCATGACAACGAGCCTGCTGGTTCTACACAATCATATGCTCTGGTACATTAACTACGTGTCGTGTTTTGTACCCGATTCGTAACCATCATTCTGAGAGTCATTATTGCAGTTTTTTATAGATTTCCAAAGGATGGAAGTGAAAAGAAACCAAAAAAATAAAAATAATTAACAACAACAAAATTTAAAAAAAAAAATTAAACTTTTTTAAAATTTATTAATTTGTAAGATCGACTTTCTACCGATGCTTTTACCGCTGTCTGCCAGCGCACACACTCGTGTTTTTACGTACGCACAACATTTTCACGCAGTAAACTTATGGAGCCAGTGGCTTGTGTAGAACCAGCGCCCGTGCGTTTGTCTTGCCAACGGACGTCACACTTCGGTACTCTATAAACACCAGCTTTTAAAAATACATGTAATTGATAGCGCACACTATAAAATTGATATGTAAACTAACTCAAGTCCAATTTAAATGTAAATAATACTGAAAGCTGGAGTTATCTTTTAAATTGCAAGGACGAAACAAGTGCCGCATAGCGACAGCGCTCATCTAACGTCTACTGCGGTGACTCTGTGGTGGAGTGGAGGGATTCTAGTAAACCCTGTTAGTCCCAAATGTGTTTCACATACACGTCGAAACAGTGGAATGCACAGGGATGGTATCAGGACTTCTCAAAGAATGTTCGTTGGGATCGTTATGAAGTTGCCACGAGATGGCGCGTACGTTTAAGTGTCTTCAGATTAAAGATGGAAGCTCCCATCATTCGTAGTAGCAACAACTATTTGCAAGACAGAATAGGTAAGCACTCATCCATTTACCTACGCAAGCCTACAGGCTGCAAATTGCATAGAGAGCTGCCACCTGCAACCAATTAATGCAGGCAAAAACTGCCCCAACACATGCACAGCCACTGGCAGTGGCATACGTGGTTACAGCCATGTAACATACTGACAGTACAGAATGACATAGAAATTATACGATTTAAGGAATATACACCTTCTTTAACCAAATTTAGCTTTTGAAATTTCACTGTGACATTGTAGCCTCATACATCCAGGCATGTATAGATTCTACTAGCAAACCCGGCAGTCAAATTCTTTCTAACAGACAGTCAACAAATCAAGTTTAACCCTCCTCTTGAGGGTCAAAAGGTTATCCGACACTTACTCTTCGCATGTCAGCAGAAGGGACATTTCATGGTCCTTTCAATAAAGCCATAAAAATGCTAGTCACCGCTGAAACAAAAAAGTTTTTCAATCGCTCCGTCAGACCATGTCCTCAGAAAATGTCTAAAATCTGCCCTGTGCCCATTGACCTTTGACCTGTGACCTCCAATTTCGGCACAGTGATGGCTTTTCCTACCATGATGCCTATACACCGACTATCACGAGCCTAGGTCGAGCCGTGTTTTATTTTGATTTGTGCCGCAATTTTGCATTTTTTCCCTATACCTTTAGTTAAGGAGGGAATGTTCCCCCTTCTTTTACACCTCTTGACCTTTGACCTTTGACCCCCAGCTTCGACATCCCAACTCGTTTTGACGATCCCCCCCAATGTGCCGAATATCGTGACCGTACGTCGAGCGGTTAAGATTTGTGCCCAACTGTTGACGGACGCACGGACGGACGATCAAGCGATTCTACAAGCTGCATCTGACTATGTCAGATGAGCTAAAAATAAGGAGTTGCGAAAATCATGCTAAATAGGTACTTTGTGAAACTGTGTCTTCATAAGCTTCGTTTGATAGTTGTTCAATGCTATGGACCATGTATCATAATAAGTCTTGCTTTTAAACACAATTAATTGCCTAACATAATGTCCCACCACCCACGGTCATAACCAGTAGGGAAAACACATCTACCTGCTCACAGACATCAAAATGAAAGCTGCCTAACTTGAATTTAATAAATAGTGTCTTTGGCACTACTTTTGAACTTTTCACGCTTGCGAGCCAGAAAAACGTGACTCTTCGACTGCAATTGTTTAGAAGAATGATGACATCCCACGTAAAAGATGACGCACTATAACTTAAAGGAACTAGAAAGGGCAGTTGTCGCCAACTACATGTATCCCCCGTGTTCTCCCTAAGATGTGTAAGTATACGAAGTTTGGTCGTGCTAGGTCAATTAGGGGCCGAGTTATAGAGCGGAAGGGAAATATGATCAAGGTCAAATAAAGGTCGTAATGACCTGGTTTGGGTAGCGCTAGGTCAATTAGGGGCCGAGTTATAGAGCGGAAGGGAAATATGATCAAGGTCAAATAAAGGTCGCAGTGACGGTACGCTGCTCACCTTCTCCCCAAGATGTGTAAGTATACCAAGTTTGGTAGCGCTAGGTCAATTAGGGGCCGAGTTAGAGAGCGGAAAAGAAATATGATCAAGGTCAAGGTAAAGGTCAAATAAAGGTCGCAGTAACCTGGTTTTGGTACGCTGCTCACCTTCTCCCCAAGATGTGTAAGTATACCAAGTTTGGTAGCGCTAGGTCAATTAGGGGTAGAGTTATAGAGCGGAAGGGAAATTGTCTGCGGCGGCGGCGGCTGGGGAGACATGAAACCATAGTATCCCCACCGACTTCGTCACGGGGGATACAATAATAGGTCCATTGATTATGCAATGTAGACAAATGCTAGAGTAACTGGCACCTTGTGTAGTCAATAAGTACGTAACCTTATAGCCTAACCCGTATTAGTTTGTCCAATATCACTGCTGGTTACATTACAAGCAAGACTTGAAATCGGTTGTTGATATTCATTTACGTGCCGTAAATGTCATCCAGAAGTCAAGCGATAAGTCGCCGATGACGTAAACATTTGTGCGGCCCGTATGTTTTGGACGCCAGATGAAATGGAGGTGTCAGCAGTGTAACCACGGCCACGGACTAAACATGGAAATGGAGTAAAACTAGATACAATAATGTAACCCAAACACAGGATAGGGTTACAACGCGAGTCTATCCGTTTGTGTGGAGGAACCCCTGAGTGAATCACTCAGGGCGGTTTGCTGGTGCGTTTTCAGAGACTAGAACTTCCAAACTGGGTTTATTCTCAACACGAACCTTTCTCTAAACTGGGTTTATTCTCAACACGAACCTTTCTCCGCTACCCCGGAACTTACTATATGTATCACAATACTCTGTATTAAACTAATATAACCTGTTACAAAAATTCGAAGTGACGAGCGGCGTATACATTGAGCGTCATTTCTGTTGACCTGTGACGTACTTCGGTTTGAAGAGCGGATTCACCGACCAATCGGAGGGCGCTGCGTTTGCCGATCGCTATGCGCATTGGAAATGCGTACGTCAAAGGTCAACAGAAATGGCGCTCAATGTATACGCCGCTCGTCACTTCGAATTTTTGTAACAAGTTATATTAGTTTAATACAGAGTATTGTGATACATAGTAAGTTCCGGGATAGCAGAGAAAGGTTCGTGTTGAGAATAAACCCAGTTTGGAAGTTCTAGTCTCTGAAAACGCACCAGCAAACCGCCCTGAGTGATTCACTCAGGGGTTCCTCCACACAAACGGATAGACTCGCGTTGTAACCCTATCTTGTGTTTGGGTTACATTATTGTATCTAGAGTAAAACACACGTACAAATCACGGACGCACATGGACAGCCCTGACAAAAAGTTCCTTACCACGAGCGTCCGTGTTTACGAAAAAACGTATAAATCTGTATCACACCCGCTTCGCCGGCAGCGGTTTGAAACTGTAAACAACTCGGTCAACTGATTTCTTGGACTGCGGATTTCAGTTACACATTTCTTAGTAACCAGCAGTGATATTGGACAAACTAAGACGCGTTTGGATATGAGGTAATGTACTTATTAACTACACAAGGTGCCAGTTACTCTAGCATTCGTCAACATTGCATAATCAATGGACCTATTATTCCTTTAAAGGAATACTTACAATATGAACAGACATGTACACTACTTTTGAACAGAAATGGTGAAATAAATAGCAGGCAAATAATTTCAGTGCTATTGCAGTACGCGTAACCATGTAGGTTCATTTCAGTTTCAATGTATTATACTCACCATTGCTTGCTCAATCTTGTTGTCAATAGCCACTGTACTACTAGAAGCACTGCAAGGAAAAAAACAAAACCGTTACACATCAAGTTTGACAACGTCTCGTCTTGTCTGCCAGTCGCGCTACTTAAAAGCATCTTGAACGCAGTTCTAACTTCTAGATTCACTCTCAAAACATGCGAGACATTGATAATGTATGTCGCAAGTGCGTCTCAGAAAACATCGCGTTAACTTGGCACCTATCAAACAAAAACACACGACAGCACGCGCGTACTCAATTCCAAACAAGAAGATGAAATTCTCGTACAACTATATCAAGCCCATGCACATCAGGCAGATATGTATCAATCGGTCGCACAGAACAGGCGGCAACGTCATGCACTGTTACCTCACTACGCAAAACAACAAACTAAATGTAATCAAAATCAACCTATGTTAGATACATATTCTTTGCACATTCTGATATCTCTAATTCAGAGGGTACTGGGTGTGGCTATTGAATAAGGACTGCTGGTGGGTTTGTCCTCTACTAAAATCGTTTTGCACTAAGTCTTAAGTTGGGAGCAGGGCCTCACACCTATACTACAATAAATGCTTCGAAATTTTCCGAGATAAATTCAGGAAAAAACACTCTTGAGCCCAAGCTTGCGCATACCCATGCTTCATACACGCACACGCCCCCACCACAACTAACACCTTTAACAGGCTCATGCTCACGCATACACATACATCCATCGCTGCTGAACAGATTCAATTTCTGGAACAAATTGCGAGTGAGACCCTATGATGGTACCACTTCTTTTTAGCTTCGTTCCCTAGCTTGCCTCTATCCGTTGCCCACGTAACACTGTGTTAACCTCACCCCCCATCTGACCTTGCATATATTGCCCCTATCTCGTGCATCTGGACCCAAATATACTGACTTGACATGTATTTTTGCAGCCAAGCAGCGCAGTTTCAGCGATTCGGACTGGAAAGGTTGAAATTCAACGCTCGATGCAACACTAACTCAATCAATGCGAGACTGCCTCACATGACATGGATGCTGTAACACACTAGCGACACACGCACCGACCCAGCGATAGCAACGCCCATAGCAACCAGACACGAAACTCTACTAGATCTTTCACTGAACAACCTGCAATGTGCGCCAGGAATAAGGCAAAATAACTAGGATGACATAACTACACGCGAGTGAGTGTTCCCGTACAGCACCTCACGCAGCCCTGAGGCAGCAGTCAGAATCCCACACGCCTCTTAGGTAGGTATGGTCAGCTGTAACGCCACCACATATTCTTATGCGCACTCTTCGTACAGGGGCTTCTCTTTATGAGAGCCCGGGCTCATGTCTAAAAGGGCGTTTCAGTTTCACGACGTACCATCAGCTTCTCGCATGGGGATGCAGTCAGCTGTGCAGACACCTCCCCCACGCCTCCCCAGAAGAGAGAAATTCACATTTCTGTCAGCCTACAACCGGCTGCTGCTAGACTGCTTGTTTGCGTGCTGTTGCTGCTGCTGCTGTTGCTGTTGCTACTGTTGCTACTACCGCTGCTGCTGTTGCTGTTGCTGCTGCTGTTGCTGCTGCTGTTGCTGCTGCTGTTGCTATCGCTACTGCTGCTACTGCTGCTGCTGTTGCTACTGTTACTACTACCGCTGCTGCTGCTGCTACTGCTATCGCTACTGCTGCTGCTGTTGCTACTGCTGCTACTGCTGCTGTTGCTACTGCTATTGTTATTAATCTTGTTGTTGTTGGTGGTTGTTGTTGTTGCTGCTGCTGTCACTACTGCTGCTGTTGCTACTGCTGCTACTGCTGCTGTTGCTACTGCTGCTACTGCTGCTGTTGCTACTGCTATTGTTATTAATCTTGTTGTTGTTGGTGGTTGTTGTTGTTGCTGCTGCTGTCACTACTGCTGCTGCTGCTACTGCTATTGTTATTGATGTTGTTGTTGGTGGTTGTTGTTGTTGTTGTTGTTGTTGTTGCTGCTGCTGCTGCTGCTGCTGCTGCTGCTGTTGTTGCTGTTGTTGGTAGTGGTGGTGGTGGTGGTGATGCTGCGGCTGCGGCTGCTGCTGCAGTGGTGGCATAAGGGTGGCACATTGCAACCAGATGTAATAGCTCTGCCTCTTGCTAGGCTGATTGGGATCAATGTGGAAATTATAGGGACTGCTGCAAAAACCCAAACAGCAAATCCTAGTGCAGCCCGAGGACGGATGAGGTGCATGCACGCTGCATCCCAGCTCTCGCTATCTCTCTCTCTCTCTCTCGCTCTCCTCTCTCTCTCTCTCTCTCTCTCTCTCTCTTTCTCTCTCTCT